ATGTCACATAGTTGTAATCGTAAAGTATGCAGTCTTCTCGGATTGACTTCTTTTATTTAGTATTTAAGGTTTCTCTGTGTTTTTCATGTCTTGATAGCTCATTTCTTTTTAGCACTGAACAATATTCCATTGTTTGGATATACCACAGTATTTATCTGTTGACCTCCTGAAGGGCATCTTTGTTGCTTCCAAGTTTTGGCAATTATAAATAAGGCTGCTATAAATATCTTTATGCAGGTTTCAGTGTAGACATAGATTTTCACCTATTTTGTGCAAATACCAAGGAGCATAACTGCTGGATCATATGGAAAGAGTATGTTTAGTTTTGTCCAAATGTTTCAACATCATTTATTAAAACGACTATCCTTGCTCCATTGTATTTCCTTTTCTTCTTTGTCAAAAATAGTTGACTATATTTATGTGGGTCTGTTTGGGGCTCTCCATTCTGTTCCATTGGTCTATTTATCTATTCCTTTATAAATGCCACGCTCTCTTGATTGCTGTAGATTTATATTGTTTTGAAGTCAGGTAGTGTCAGTCTTCTGACTTTGTTCTTCTCCTTCAAAACTGTCTTGGATATTCTGGATCTTTTGCCTCTCCATATTAGCTTTAAAATCAGTTTGTCACACCACAATATCCACAAAAATACTTGCTGGGATTTTGGTTGGCATTGAATTCAACCTATAGATCAAGCATAGAAGAGTAATTATTTTGACAATCTTGAGTCTTCCTATCCATGAACAGGAAATATTTCATTTCTTTAGTTGTCTTTTGATTTCTTTCATCAGAGTTTTCCTCATGTAGATTTGGTACATATTTTGTTAGATTTATACCTACGTATTTTATGTTTTTGGTGCTAATGTAAATAGTATTGTGATTTTGATTTCAAATTCCACTTGTTCATTGCTGACATATAGGAAAGTCATTGTATATGATCATAAATAATTTTTACAAGATACAATATATAATATTTTGTAGGTTAATCTTGTATCTTACAAACTTCCTATAATTGCTTATTATTTTCAGGAGTTTTTTGTCAATTCTTTTGGATTTTTTGCATAGGTGATCATGTCATCTGGAAACAAAGTTCTATGTGTCCCTTTTGGAATGGGAATGTTTACCGTATGCCTGTTCCACCATTGTGTCTTGGAAGTAGGTAACTTGCTTTGATTTTACAGGCTCACGGCTAGAGTTTGCTTTGAGTGTCAGATGAGATTTTAAAAAGGACTCTTAACTTATGAGTTGGTGCTAGAATGAGTTAAGACTTTTGGGACTATTGGGATGGGCTTATTATGTTTTGCACATGATAAGGCATGAGATTGGAAGGACCAGAGGCAGAATGCTATGGTTTGGATGTGGTTTGTCTTCACCAAAAATCATGTTAAATTTTAGTTGCCAATATATTAGTGTTGGGAGGTGGGACTTTTAACAGGTCATTAGGTCATTAAGATGAATTAATGGCTCTCTTGAGAGACTGTGTTAGTCTTCCTGACACTAGATTAGTTCTCATGAGAGCAGGTTCTTCTAAAGCAAATCAGCCTCCTTTGTTCCCTGTCTCTTTTGCACATGCCCACTTCCCCTTCTGCTTTTCTGACACGTTGTGATTCACCATGAGGCCCTCACCAGAAGCTGACGAGATGTGGCTGCCAGATCTTGGACCTCCCACCCTCCAGAATCATGAGCCCAATAAACCTCTTCTTTTATAAATTACCCAGTCTCAGGTCTTCTGTTTTGGCACAGAAAATGGATTAAAGCAAATGCCCATGAGATCTGTTGTGGTGTAATCTCTTTCATTTCTGATATTAGTAATTTATATCTTCTGTCTTTTTTCCTCAGTTAGCTTGGCTAGAGGCTTATCAATTTTAATGATCTTTTCAAAGAACCAGCATTTGGTTTTGTTGATTTCCTCTATTGATTTTCTGTTTTCACTTTTGTTGATTGTGCTCTAATTCTTATTATTTCTTTGCTTTGTCATATGATTGTCATATGTGTGTGTGTATACCTTTTAAAAAAATTTGTTATTATCCTTTTAACTTTATGGTATTTTTTGTCATGCAGAATTTAAAAATATTATATAGTTAAATTTATCAAAATTTTCTTTCATGGCCTCTTGAGTGATAAGTCCTGCTTAAAAATCCATACCACTTCAGAATGATAGAATTTTATTAATATATCATATTTTCCTTAGTTTTTTCAGATTATTTTTATATTTAGATCTTTTAAATGTGCATATGTGTGTGTGGAGAGAGTGTGTGTGTGTGTGTGTGTGTGTGTGAAAGAAACAAGATTGAGGTCCAAGGCCTTTTATTTTCCTTAATTTTTGTTTGTTTATTTTGAGACAGCCACTCAGGTCAACCTCCATTCTTCACTAGCTCATTTTCTTCATTGATTTGAAATGTTATCTTTGTCCATTTTTCATGTTTCTTATTTTTTCCCATTAAGGTTTTCAATCTAGGCATTGTTTTTTCATCCAAATGTGCTTTATTAAGAGTGGTGCATCATGCCAATAGCCCACTGGATATGAGAGTAATATATAGCCCATGACCTCCAAGGCCATGCTGGAAATAAATACAGAGAATATGATGTGAATAGAAGGGATACTATTAGAGAAGGAGGAAGAGATAAACTACTCCTCTACTACATAATAGTGTATAGTGACATATCATCTAGGAATGTAAATTGTTTTCCCAAATCTGTCCATTGTTTTGAGTTGAGAGGATGCAGAAAAAGCAGTAGATAACCATGCTCACAAATTGTCTACCAAGTGAGAAACAGACAACCAACTTTGGAAAACAAGAACAACTTTGAATATTTTTGTTTTTCCTAAAGAGGAGAATTAAATAATTAAGACTTTGTTTTAGAGTTCTGACAAGTACCAGCTCCTTGAAATGCCTTGAAATCTGCTACTGCTTGAGTGTTTGGGATGCTGTCATTATTTTGGAGGAAAATTTTTGAATTTTTTTTGTAGCCACATATTCTTCTTGATGATGTTTGGATATATCCATTGCCATAGTTATCATAGGTCTCTGCAGATGTTGAAAATTGATTATATTTCAAACATAGTGCTCCTAATTTAAGCAGAATGAGTATGGACAGGTTTGTTGTACTTAGATTCCCTCTTTCTACCTCTCTCTTTCCTTATCTCTCTTCCTTTCCTTGTGTCCTCTGTCTTTTCTTCTTTCTCTTTCTTGACTTTGCTAGACTAATTGTGTTTTAGTTCTTTCCTGAAGTAAGCATATCTGAAGGATCAACCATTTCTTTGGGGTATAATATCACCGTCAATATTTAAAAATCATTTTATTGTAAAATAAAATAGCTATTCACAAAAATATATAAAACCTATAATGAATCTACATTATTTAGGTCCATATATGTTTAAGACTGTGATATCCATACCTATGTATCTATCTATATCTATATCTATAGAGAAATTTATTTTAAGAAATTATTTCATGCAATTGTGGAGAGTAGGAAGTCCAACTTCTGTAGGTCAGGCTGTTAGGCTGGAGACCCATGGAATAGTTGATTTTGCAGAATGCAGACTGGAGGCAGAATTTCTTCTTATTTGGGGGACCTCAGTATTTTTCCCTTTAGACCTCCAACTGATTGGATGAGGTCCACCCACATTATGGAGAGTAATCTGCATTACTCAAACGTTAATGTCATCTAAAAAAATACCTTCACAATAACATCTAGACTGACGTTAGACCAAACATTTGGGAACTGTGGCCTATCCAAGTGGATACATAAAATTAGCCATCACATCCTCTTTACCTCTAGTAATTCTTTTCTGTAAGCCTACTTTGTCTTATATATCAGCTTTCTTTTGATTTTGCTTGGTATATCTATTTCATTCTTTTCTCTCAATCTCTCTGTGCATTAAATCTCAATATATCCTTTTATATCTACACTCTCAACTGTTTGTTGGCTTCTTATCTCACTGAGAAAATAGAAATAATAAGAAGAGAATTTTCAGAAGCTTCAGCACTTCCAAATCACTTGCATCTGTGCTCAAATACTCTGTCTTCCCTCTCATTAGACTGTAATTCCATGAAAACAGAAACTTTGCTTATCCTTGGTGCTTATCATCATAATTGACAGAGAGTAGGCCTTTAAAAAATAATTGTTGAAGGAGTGCAATGCGCACTACCCGAAGGATGGACATATTTGAAACACGGACTTGGGGGGGGGACCAAGGGCAACACACGTAACCTAAACATCTGTACCCCATAATATGCTGAAATAAAAAAAATAATAATTGTTGAATTAAAAATATATGAAAAAATAAATGTCTCTATCACTTCCAGAGCAAAAATTACCATTCATTCACTCAATAACAATTTATTATGTCCCATTTCTTGACAGGCCATATTTTAGAAACTGACAATATAGCAGAGAATAGAACAGATAAAAATCTCTAAACTAAGGGAATTTATATTTTAGTTGAGGGCTAAGTTCATATTAGCCACTACCATAGGCCTTTACATGAATCATCTACCTTTTTGTTAAGTACATGAGATTTCCATTTTATTGTATGGTTTTATATCACACTAGTTCAAATGCATTTCTCTACAACTATTCCAATATAGCCCTTTGGAATTATTTCAGTCATCCTTAACATGTGACTTTACCAAAGACCTTGAAGCTAAACAAACAAACAAATAAAATTACAAATGACTAATTTTTAGATGACTGGGATAAGAAATAGAATTCAGATGATGATCGGGGGTGTTAATTTATAACAAGACACTGTATCAAACTGTTCCTTTTGATATAGCAGTTGTAAGTCAAAACTTTCAAACAACAAGGGGAGAACAACACTACAACAAAAGAAGCTTCTGCAGCTTAAGCCTCCCATAGTCCTAAGCCTGACAAACACAAGTGAACTGTCTTTCCTGCAAACTATAATAAATGGGTCTCCAGTATTTCTATCTGGTCGAAGCTTCAGAGATAGATGCTCAAGGCATATTAACATATATACCATCTTGACTGTGGTTGCATTAATTATGTCTGAAACGTTTAACACCCATCTGAGTCCAAAGGTGGAAGAACACATACACTGGTACGGTAATAGGCAAGAGCGGAGTATAAAAGCTAAGGCTCGTTGTGTTAGAGCAGCCCTGTGAGAACTTTTCTTCCACAGAGGCTAAGTAGAACAGTCCTGCTAAAGAAACAAATGGAATAAGAACAGTCGACATAGGAAGAGACAGAAACATTCTTCTCCTCCACTTATTATCCACTATCCTGTTTTAAAAGGTATTAAGAAAATTTTGTTGTATTTTTTAAAATTATGACCCAGTACTGCTCCACTTCTTGCTTCTTATTTTGATGTGTCAAACTAGCTGCTTGTGGTATCATATGAGGAATTCCATCAATGATTAGCTATTCCCAACTGTTTATTAATCAGTTCATTTGTTGATGCTTCATATCTGAGCAGCTTCTTAGAGAGGAGGCACACCAGGAACTCCAGCAGCGCCGGGTCAAGGCGCAGGGTCTCCGCCGCTCTCTGGCTCCGGTGGGCTGAGACCCGCGTCCCCGACGCGTGCAGGGACGTACCGGCGACCGCAGACCGTGGCGCCTGTGTCCCCAGCAGCGCAGAGCCCGCGGCACATTTCGCTCAGTATGGTCTGATGTTATCACAGCTAACGCGCGTCACTGCGCCCTCTGCCAGCCAGCCAGGGCCTAGCTCCCCGCTCCTCTCTCCCCTTTTTAAAATCTTACAAAAATAGTAAGCTAATTACCATACCTATCTTCGGATGAGAAAGCCGAGACTTACCTCGCCTATCCAATATCACACAGAACTAGAATTAAGACTGAGGTCTTCAAACATGTTTTATTGTTTTTTTCATTATTTTTAAAAATATTTTTTGTTTCTTTTTCATATCTTTAATTACAGTACTTTCAATTGCTGTTTTACAAACATGTATCTTAATTACTAATTTACTGGGTTTATATAGGGGCTTACCTTGTGAACAGTGAGGAAAAATCTAGCAAAAAGCTTAAGCATAGGTTTTGAGCAACTGTAGCTTTGACCCCAAGATGGCAGTGTTTGCATTGGCCCTGTCTGTAGGTCTCAATGTGCAATGTGTATAGGGAGGCTAATATGGTCTCTGATTGGCTGGGCATACTTTCTGAGAAACCCTTTCTTTAATGTTAAGTGAAGAGAAGATGTTAAATAGACAAGTTGACTTTTGGGGGCAGATCTCTGCAGACTAAAAATGGAGAAGCATCTGAGGACCTGCTTCGTGGTTTTGTGGCTTTATTTTTGTTGTAAGTTAGTGGAGTGTTTTAGCCAGGTTGACACAGTAAATCTAGGGAACATTTACTTAGCATTTTGGGCAAAGGTGTAGTACATTGGGTTAAGAGGAGGGAAGAAAATGGGGCCATTTTCTATTCACCTAGGATTTGGTGTGGGGGATAAAGAGGAATGCAAAATAGAAAGAATTAAGACTGGATGATTGATCTCTTGACTTTCACTTTGCTTTCTGAATAGGGGTGAGTGGCAAAAATCAAGTGGAGCAGGGTCCTCAGTCCCTGATCATCCCAGAGGGAGAAAACTGCACTCTTCAATGCAATTATACAGTGAGCCCCTTCAACAACTTACGGTGGTACAAACAAGAGACTGGGAGAGGTCCTGTTTCCTTGATAATCATGAATTACAGCAAGAGCAAAGAGTCGAATGGAAGATACACAGCAACTCTAGATGCAAGCGCCAAGCAAAGCTCTCTGCATATTACAGCGTCCCAGCTCAGTGATTCAGCCTCCTATATCTGCGTGGCGAGCGCACCGTGCTCCCCAGGCACTGGCAGCCAGTGCCCAAACCTGCACCTGGAGTTTGTCAAGGAGGCTTAGGAGGTAGAGTAGAACATTATTTTTTTTTATGCAGTATATAATTCTCCGAGTGAGCTAGTATTTCTCTCTCAGACATAATTGGATTTGAGCTTGAACCTAGAGGTCTACATAGCATAAACACATCCTCACTCAACTGGCAAAGTTAACTGCTACATCTGGCTGTTCCCAAGGGCAAGACAGTCATGCTGCATTAGTGCTACTGAGGTAGATGATAGTGTGGGTTGGAAGGGAGAGATCAGCTAGGTCTGGGGTCTGGCTACCAATAGAATGTCAACTAAGTAAAAGAGCAAAAAGTTGATGTGGCCAATGGCAGTATCTTGATAAGTTTCCTCACCCTGACATTCAGTGGTCATTTCATGGCTATTCAAGTTCTCAGAAAGCATCTGTGCCACATTCTAAGAAAGCATCCTGTGGGTAGAGATCTGCTTCACCCATTTAGCCATGCTCCTAATCAAGCTGTCTTTCTGGTGCCACACCACTCTTTTATCACCTTCTGCCATTGCTCCTTTGAGGGACATTTCTTCCCAGACTGTTCTGCCAGCAGACACTGGCAGGCATAAGGACTCTAAGGCAGCAGAATAGCTGTGTCAGGCCCTTCCACCATCAGTGTTCTAGAACAGAGACTTAAGAAACAGAATGCCTACCTACAATTGTGAATACTGGTTTGCGCAAATTAGCTGTGAGTTCCTTTTGGGACAATTAGAGAAATATAAATATGGTTAGAAAATTAGATGAGGTAAATATGTATTTGAAAGGCAGCTATCAACTGGAAAAATAGGAAGGATATATTTTAATACTAAGGTATTAAAATGATAATTTCTGGGTGGTGGGAATACAATGTTTTTATTATTTTTATCTTTCCTTATATGTACTTTTAATTTCTATAGGTCATAGGTTTTGCTTCTGTCAAAATAAATGATATTAAACAAAATAAAAACTGTCTTAAGAAAAATTTGTAGGAATTTGTCTGATGTTATCATCAACTCACAGAAATATTTAAGGATGATTACACATTCCAGGATATTGTTGAATGAGATTGATTTTTTTATCTGGGGGTCCTACATGTAAATTCATTTCCAAGGCTTAGCGAATTGACAATTTGTATATAAATGAAGCCAGGCCCTAGACTGTTCTTTGTCACTAGTCTGGAGATTGCTCAAGTGTCAATTCTTCAAAATGCTCTGAATTCTGGAGCTAAAAGTAAATCTAGATGTGTTCAGTAGTCAGACATTTCTTTCTGCCATGTACCTCCTTTTAAGTCTTCAGAGTGAAGAAGTTAAAGTTCAGATTTCTTCTAGAGCATACTTGTATAAATTATTAATAATAAATTAGTTGAGGAACAAGATAAAATGCATGAAAACTTAACCAATAGGTAAAATTCTAAGTTATGTGGAAAAATTAAATTTTAAAGATTTTCTTAGGAGGAGATCACTGAGGTACAGAAAAGACAAAGGGAAGCATCATGGGAAAATAGCAACTTTAGTTAGGTCTTGAAGGACAGATAACACATTGAATTTATTCATTATACAATTATGTATTAAACAAATGATAAATGACAGGTATTTTTGTAGGTATAAGGAATAGGGTAGTGAACAAAACAGACATATATGGACACCAAAAGACCTTCCCTCATGAGGCTTGAGTCTAGATATTTTTATAGTGTTCACTTTTTTACAAGAATATCCTGTGAAATTTGTGTTTCAACCTAAGCAATTCTCTTGCTTGCTTTAGTAATGGCAGGTTTCATGTGATGATTAATAGGCATAGACATTGAAGTACTGTATCTGTCACTAATTATGTGAACATGGACAAAATTACTGAAATTTAGGGCACTTACACTTCATTAATTGGTTCTAAGTCTTAAATTAAATTAAATTAGTTAAAGGATTGAATTGTATTAGTAGAAAATAATTTTTCAACTAATAGTAGTTATTCTTGGATGTAGATGAGATGATGCAATGAAGATAATATAAGATAAAATAACAAGAAAATTTAAGTATAGGTTAAGGCTTAACTCTTCACTCTCCTGTTATTGATTATGTTATTTTACCCCATGGCTATGGCTGAGAGTTACGCTTTATTTCACATTGGCCTTATCCCATCCAATTATTTGAACTGACTGTGATGGCTTTCTTGTTTGGTTTCTTTATCTCATAGGTTTTAAGCATAGAAAATGAAACTTTCATGCTTCTGGTATAACTTACTTTCAATTATAGGATGAATCTGCATGAGCTTTATGGAGCAGGGCTCAGATATAACATCATAATACTGAGCTGGAGTGCCAATAACTAGATTCCTATCTGGGAGCTCATTTAACAGCTTTCTGCATTGGAAAGGAGAGAAAATACCTTTCTAGGTTTTCCTTGGGGATGAATGCTTTTCAGTTATTCAATTTATAACTTGTGCATGGTAGATGCTTAAGAAGTATTATAGAAGAAAAAAATGAAAGAGAATGATTTAGGAGACAAACAATAGGTGGAGCTGACCAACAACTCTGCCGCTGGTCCTTATGTGGTCCCTTTCCATATTGTCTCTCCAGAGATGAGGGAGACCTGTGTGAACTGCACACAGGAGACTGGATCTAGTTTCTGGTTGACTGGGGAGACTCTCAGCTTCCTGCAACAACAGAATTATGAATATGTACCGAAAGAAACAAGCCATTTGGGTTGGTAGTGTTTGGGGGCTCTCATACTTAAACCAGAGTCCTTAGTGAGTCTGAGGGATAGAAATGTCGAGATGCCCTTGGAGTTTCATTAGTGATTTTCTCTTGACAACAGTGCCATGAGTTTGTGGGCTCTGCTGATATCAATAAAAGGAGCAAATTGTATCTTCTCCATTAGTCTGAAAGTTATACAAGGGTGTTTTAACCTCCATGCTCAACTGTGAGTATTGTGAAAAGAGAGTATATGTTGAAAAAGTAGTCAGCCATCAATACATCTCCTTTCTTTTTGGTTCTCTGTTTAACCAGGGGTGAACAGCTGACATACAATGGAGCAGAGTCCTTCATTCCTGAGCATCCAAGAAGGAACACATGTTATTCTTAATTGTATTTATCAAGCATTATAAATAGCATTATATATGTAAAAATTGAAAAGTTCATCTGTGTACTACCTAACATGGTCTCCTGTATTGATCACACTTTAGGAAATATTAATCCAGCTCATGCCTCTCATTTTAAAGATGAAAGAATTAGTATGGCATCACTTACTCAAATCATGACTTACAGAGAAATGGAAGCTAGGAGTAGAACCCAGGCATTTTGACCTCTCATCAGTTGTTTCTTCCACCAAAGATGCAAAGCATCCAGAGTTTGAAGGAAGGCATTGTGTGTTGTAAATTTAAACTAAATCAAAATTTTTAAATT